AAGGCAAAGTCCAGCTTTTGCTGTGCGATAAAGTGGATTATTTTGACAAAGATATTCAAAGGTGCATCTCGGGGTACAATGCCACGATTGCCTTTCGGGAAAAGGCTTCCGCAGATTGACTCTAGCCGCGTTCGGGTAGCAGAATTCCCGTCGCAGTTGTTGCGGATCATGTAAACCCTAAAGCAGCTTCTTGCTTTCCCATCCAAGTATATCTAACTTATAGACATCAGTAGTCAAAAACGTACCATAACAGCCTATAGAGGGATTCCAACGCCACACGTGAGATCCTAGAATCTCTATTCTTCAAATTAGCCAGAGCATTGTTGAGGAAGGGAACCCAGTTGGACAAGAAGAACTGGCGCTGGCTTACACAGAGCAAACAAGTAAGGAGTGGATATGCAGCCTAAAAATGATCATTCGAACTCAAGCGATTGTTACTAAACAATAGATACCAGTTTATGCTGCTTTTTTGACGCCAGTTCATTGGTAGGACCATACAGTTTGCCAACAAAAGTAATTAAAGCAGGGATGTTGGTCTCACGTTTGATTTGCTAAAAAACAGAGCCGATGATTCAGCATACACTATGATAAAATAGCAAAATATTACCGCCGCCACAGGAAGAAGAATTTCTACTAAAAGACCAGCAACAGCGTGCTTGACATCCTAAATGTCATATTACGAGAAACACAATTAGAGGCAGGCTTAAACTGACCTTATCTTTCACTTCCAAGAGAAATGAACCCAAATCGTCCAGGAATTTGATACCCATTTCGAAATCTTCCACTTGATTTGTCTACAATAAGCATTCTGCAGAAATTAATCAAAAAAGAAAAAGATGTGAGCACTCCGCATTCACCATATTCACAAACTGAAACAATACATGAACACTTACCTTGATCTTGACAAACTTCATAGCCATCAGAAGAGAGATCATGTTGTGGCTGACAGTTGGTAAACTGTCTTTCTTCAAATCGGTGAGTATTGCCATAAATTGTCTACAACATTATTTTTTGGCAGCAGGAAAAAACAGAAAATGGTGAGCATACTTGTGAATCTGAGTGAAATGAGTTTCGGACAAGACACCAATAACTTCTGCATAGGTCTCAGCTACGACAAGACTGTTAGTATTGTTGACGCCTAACGTAGTCCTAAACACTTTTGCAAATTAACAAAACCAAGAGACACTCAAACAAGTCATGTGAGTCTCTGCAACTTACGGATCCTTATATTGCACTTGCTGGAAGGAACTGTCAAGCAGATATTTCACTTGTTGCTCGCAAGCACTGAGATGGAACTCCACCTCAAATAAGATTTTCAACG